AGGGTCAGAGGGAGAAGCAGACTCCCTGCCGAGCAGGGAGCCCGATGCGGGACTCCATCCCGGGACTCCAGGATCACGACCTGAGCCGAAGGCAGTCGCCCAACCAACTGAGCCACCCGGGCGCCCGCTTGCTTTTAATATTTAAAAGACACATTTATCATGCTTTTTGCTTAGATTATTATGTCTTCATTAAAGAAAATTTGGACACCAGAGAAAATCACAAAGATGAAAATACAAATTCACTTTTATCCTAAAAGCCAGGTAAAAATACTTTGAACGTTTTAATGTATTCTCTTTAACAAAATTGTATTCTGAAGCTCTTACCGTTTTCTGCTTGTTTTTTCCCCTTTACTTGAACATTTGTCTATATTGTTAAATATTCTGTTATAGCACCACTTTGAACTGATGCATAATATGTTCTTCAAGCAACACACCTACTTAATTTAATTAAGTTTAATTGGGTATGACTTTATTTCTGGATATCTAGATTGCAACTAAATTTTGGTATTACAAAGTGCTGCAGAACATATGAACACCTTTTTATAAACATCTCTGTGCTCTTTTCCAGTTATGGCCTTAGTATAAACCCCTATTTGGATTTGTTTAATTAAAAAATATTCATGTTTTCGGGGCTCATTTGAGTGGCTCAGTTGGTTGAGTCCCACTCTTGGTTTCGGCTCAGGTGGTGATCTCCAGGTCACGGGATCAAGACCCACCTCAAGCTCCACGCTCAGTGGGAGGTTTGCTTCTGTCCCTCTCTCTCTTTGCCTCCCCACCCCGCTCATGCTCGTTCTCTCTAAATTAAATAAATCTTTAAAAAAATATTCATATTTTTATGCCTTTTAACACTAAAGTTCTGTTGAACTGCCTTTTTAAAATATTCTCATCAGTAGTGCTTGAAAACGCCATCTCTCTGATGTAGTAACTTGACAGAGATGAACATTTATTTAATCGTAGGACTGAGCGCTTTTTACATGCCAGCCACTACGAGGATTCATGTGGATGGAAACAAGACACCTGCAGTCCAGATGGGGTGAGCCATGTATATAAGTAATTCTATAGGATGGTCACGGTCTGCAAATGCAGGCAAATACATAGTAACTGATCTACTGACATTACATTACAATACATGCTAAAACAACATTATCTGCTTGTGTACTTTATGGTCACCCTGTATAAAGCAAACGTAGTGATGGGTTATTGCCATCATGATCCTTGACCATTTGACTGAGGTTTTCTGAAACAGCCTCATTTCTGGGGATTTTATTATTTTTGCTATGTATGGCTTTTTAAGTGCATAACTAAATGTGAATTAATTTCACATAATTATTGTGTATCAATATACTCTCAAATCAACACACACTTTTGGTTTTTGTCTCAGAAAATAGGTCACGATCGTTATAAAGGATACCATGATTAAAGAAAAGACAAAGGGCTTAGACTCAGTTGTACGTTGGTTGGAATCCCACCTCTGCTACTTACTGCTGTGTGGCCTTGGGTAAGGCTTTTAATTTCTCTGAGCGTCAGGATCTTCATCTGTAAATATGGGTCTAATGATACTGCCTCATAAGGAGGTTGTGAGGTTTAAATGAAAAGAGGCCTATAAAAGAGGCCAAATGCTCATCTCCTGTCATTTGGAAGGCTCCCTCCCACCCTCACAGCTGTGGCCCCACCTCTTCCCCTCTTCCTCTCTTCTCCCTGCCACCCCCAGCTCTCTTCTCTCTTCTCTTACCCCCACCTCTCCTCTTTGCTCTAAGTCCTCAGCCACTCAGGCATGCCACCAATTTGGCTCTTTACTGTGACAGAGATTCTGCAACTTTCAGTAAAGAGGACATTCATGCCCATGAGGAAGGTTATAGATTAGAGAAGTGGAGGCTGAGGTGGGTGTTTTAATTCCTGTACACCTTCTACCTACCTACTTGGAACTCAGCCTTGTCGTGGCAGTGGACGTGAATTTCTCTCCCTGGGGGCCTTCCTTACCTGCCAGGACATTCCATAGGCAGATGCCCCCGGGGCCGTTGACTGCCCTATATGGAACCTGGATCATGTTGAGAATGGCAAAGCCCATGCTGACCAGAGCCAGGGCCAAAGCCAAGAAGAGGAGCAGCAGAATTGTCACGTGGAGGCCTGCATTGAGTTCCTTCACCAGGTGTGGGAAGACTGGGAAGAGAAGACACAGCCAATATTTCAGTGTCAGAGCTGGGCTCAAGTTCATACAGTCCAGGCCTGCTTACCCCAGAAGCTTTAATAGAGGGGAGAGAGGGCAAGGCAGCAAGGGCTGGGTTTTCAAAAAGCAGGAGACTTCTCAGGTGGCCAATAATCCTCTCTTTCTGGCAGTGGATGCAAAATCGGAATGTGCCCTAGCTGGCAATTTAAGTTGCACTGACTTCAAAGCCCCGGGATCTGGTGTGAGCTGATGCACACAAGCCCTAAACGGTGGCTCTTTAGCAAAGGAGGTTGGCAAGAGAGTCAGCCAAAGAGGGCCGATTGAAAAGCTTTAATCTGGGTCAGAGAGAAATCAGAGAGGTAGAAGAGGTTTCAGGTACATCTGTGAAGAGTGTAGAAAGGCATAGCAGAGTGAAGCCTAGACCTGGCATCCAAAGATCTGGGTTCAAATCCCAGTTTTGCTCATTTGCCGCAAGTATAAAATAGGATCCTCTAATCCCTGCCTCCCCTACCCATCTTACCAGATTGTTGAGTAGATCAAGTGAAGTGCACAGGAATAATAATAGCACTTAATAAGCACTGATAGGAAGCTAGGAGCATCATCTTGGATCCCTCATAATGACTTGGCAAGGTAGTCATTTTTCCCCAGGTATGATGGACCCTTACTTCTCATGTGCACTGTATTCTATTAGAGTATTAATTTTCCATATTAATGTGGCAGGATAATTTGGCGAGATATTAATTTGTATCTGTTTTCTCTATATTGGCCACCACACAGTAGCCATGAAGAGTAAATGATACAGTATGGCAGATATTGCCTGGGAAAGACTGAGTTCTCAAAATGGCGGCCGGGGCTGTTGCGGTTCTATTGTTACTCTCTGACTTAGGAAAAGTCACGTGACTCCTCAGAGCCTCAGTTTTCTCATCAGTATAATGGGGTAGCAATAGCTGCCTATGAATGGAGGGTAATCAACATTTACTGAGTACAGTCATGTCAAGAGCCAAATCCTTTACATCATTATTTTATTCAGTGCTTGTGACAAGGATATAAGGTAGATTTTATTAAACCCATTTCAGCATAGGCTTGGACATTAAGTCCCTTATCTTTGGGCAAGGTGACTCTGAATTCTATATAGGATTATAGTCCTAGATACCATATGATATATGGAGTTTAGAGCACTGTTTTCAGTAATTACACTGAGGAATTAAAAATGACAGAAGCTAAAGAAAGCTAAAGAATGCCCAAGCATACCCCTTCCTCTGCAGCTACTCTGGGGTTTCTACTGAGCACCTCCTGGTCAAATCAGGGTCCACTTTGTGAATCCAAACTCCCTGCTTCATCCTTTGATGTCAGGACCAGCCCCTCCTTGTCTCTGCCCCCCGCCCCCCTGGGGAGCCAGGACTCAAAGCTTTCCTGGTTCCCCTCACTCTCCTGAACGCTTTTCCCCTCTGGCTCTTTGCTGGCTCACCTGCCTCCCTGTAGTCACAGAAGGTTGGCATCTCCCAAGCTTGAGAACTAGAATTTTGGTCCTTCTCCCTTTAAAATCCTTTCCATTGAGAAGTTTCCAGACACTCCATATTTATATCCTAGTTCTAATCTAACTTTCTTTCCAGTTTTGCATTTCCATTTGTATTTATCTCCATGTGGTTATCTTGTCGGCATCAGAAACTTTACCCTGAGCTTCTATCCAAGGGATTTTTCTTTGCAAGGCTTCTCTTTAACCATTGAGTCTCTCCTTTCTTAGTGTCCCTTAGGTTTTTTTTTTTTTCTTTCCAAACTTTCAGCCCTGTGTGAGAGAACGCTGTGATAGATGCAAGTCTGTCCCTAACCTGCCGCAGCGCAAAACCAGCCGACACAGCCTGGCCCAGCTCCAGTGAAAGTGTTCAGAGAGAATCACACCCAAGGCTCTGTGAATGGAAGTTTATATACCTTCCCTGGGGACACCCCAGGGCAGCCGGGAACTAAACATTCTTGAACACTGCCCTACCCAGAGCTGATATTAAAACATCCTTTATGATTGTCACACGGTTCTGGTGCTTCAGAGAGCAGACCGAGTTAGATGAACCCCCGGAGGCTGTCTCCCGTGGGGCATCTCTCTGGGAAGTTAAGAGGAGAGAAAGGGACATTTATTGAGTTCCTCTCCAGTGGGCAAACAGAAAGTGCTCCTTTACTCTGGCTTCTGGCAGAGGGAGTTTACATTTCTGTGAGCTGGGATGGCAGGGGTTTATTTGACCCTGCTGTGGAAGGGCTCAGTCTTTGTTCTTCTCGGGACTCCTTCTACTGCAAAGCTGGTGTCTGCTTCAGCTCCTTCTCCAGCATCAGTGTCTGTGCTCGGGGATTCTAAATTATGCTAGACCTACCAACTACCACCTCACATCCTCTATTATCTGTTGAACCATGCCCTCCCTGCCATCCCCCACAAAAAAGAGGGGGTGAGGTCCCAATCTCCAGCATTTCAGAATATGACCTTATTTGGAAATAGGGTCTTTACAGAGCTAATTAAGATGAGGTTGTTAAGATGGACCCTAATCCAATGTGATTGGTGTTCTGATAAAAGGGGAAATTTGGACACAGACACACTTGGAGGGAAGACCATGTGAAGAGACACGGGGAGGATGCCATGTGAAGACCGGATGACATGGCGACAAGCCAAGAACACCTGGGGCTACCAGGAGCTGGAAGAGGCTAGGAAGGCTCCTTCTTCCATTGGTTCGAGAGGGAGCATGGCTTTGTCGACAAGCTGATTTCTGAGTTCGAGCCTCCAGAACTATGAGAATATGTTTCTATTGTTTAAGTCACTCAGTTTGTGGTAGTACTTGGTTACAGCAGCTCCAGGCAACCACTCAGTCATTTCTAGTGGGATCTGTCCACCCTGGATCCTCCCACCCCTGAGAATCCCCATTCACCCACCACCTCCCCATGACCCTTTGCTGAACTCCAGGAGAACAGTAAGGACTACTAGGGGGATGCCTGGCTTTGGGAAAGTTGCCACTCACAACTTCCAGAAGGAGCAACATGGTGGAAAGTAGGAACTATGGGGTCAGGCTAACCTGGGTTGGGGTCTGGCTCCAGCATTCAGGGCTCTGTGACCTTCAGCAAGCTGCTTAACCTCTCTGAGCCTTAGTTTTCTCCTGACAGGGTTGTGGAGGATTAGTGTAGCATAAGTCACAAGTTTGATGTCTTGCATGGGAACATCCAGGGCAAACGAATTTAAAAGTACTTTATTGCTATTCATTCAACCAATGTTTTTGAGTGCCGGTGTTTTAATGCACTCTTCTGGGGGCTTGAGATCATCAATGAATAAATTGATGGAGATCCTTGCCCTCATGGCAACACATTCTATAGGGGTGGAAACAGATAATAAATAATAAACATAACATAAATTATCTAGTATGTAAGAAGGCAGTTATCATGGTCACATGATACATCATGCTATATAATTACCAGTAGCTATTTTTATTATATTCCCTAAGCACTGTCTTATTAAAGTCTCTGGAGTCCTGTTGCTATTGATTGTCACTCCCCTGTTCAAGCTTGGGAACTTCCTTCATGAGGTCTTTCATTTCAATTAATAACGACTATTTAAAAATTGTGCCTTTTCTCCCTCAATTGTGTACGTGTGTGTGTGGTTTTGAAAGAATCCCAGACTTCCAAAAATTGTAAGAATGGTACAAAAGCATTTGTTTTTTTCTCCTGAACCATTTGCAGGTAAATTGTCCCCGCATCCTTGAGTACGTTAGGGTCTATTTCATTCAAAAAGAGATTTCCTTGCAGAACCACAGTACCCAAATCATTGAGTCAATGCTGGTACAAGCCTGCCACTTAATCCTGACACCCCATTCAAGTTCCACCAATTGTCTCACCAAGTGACGTCTTTTAGAGCAAACAGACCCAACTCAGAATCCCCTCGTGTGTGTAGTTGCCATGGTCTCCTTCGGATGACCTCTATTTTTATTTCTTTATGTGTGTGTGTTTTCCGTTTGTGTGTTGGTGTGTGTGTAATGTTTTTAATAGAGCTATTTTTCCAGTATCCCTGGCCCAATATAATTGCTGGATAAATATAAATATTCCCAGAGACTTTTTTTCCTGACTATCCAAAACAAATATGCATTTCTTTTATTCGTATAAGTGATGCCAATTCATATTATTATATTTGTCAATGGCTTTAGCTTTCTGTCTTTATGCATTTAATAAGATACTTAACCCTGGGCAGGATTCTAAAAACTACAATTCTGAAATATAGAAATCAAATGAGTAAAATTCCTTATCCCCTTGCATTGCAGTATGTTGATGAATTATGGGTGTGTAGGACACTGTTCTCATGAGCGATCCAACTGATTCTAAAGGCTTGCAGAATATTGACTTCTTTGCTTTGTTTTTTAATTCCCAGAAGATCCTTCATAAGCTGGGCTTGGATTTCTGCTCTGTTTACACAGGCAGCAGCTCTGAGGGGAGACTAGATGTCAGCTGATGACAGTGCCTGCTCACGTTCATGGACAGCTGCTAGCGCCTTGCCCCAGATCTCCCCTCCAGGGATCGCCCAACTTGGGCTCTCAACCCAAGTAGTCTGATTCCAGAGCCCGGGCTCACAGCCCCTCTGCCTGTTCTCAGACTATGGAGCTTTTATATAAACAGAAGTGGAAGCGCGCTGGGCTGGCTGATAATACCCCAGTCACGTGGCATGGTTCCGAAGTCTGGCTCTGCTGTTTCCTGGTTGGGGGACCTCAGGCAAGTTATATAACCTCTCCAAGTCTCAGTGTTGTCCTCTGCAAAATGGGAACGTTTAAGAATTCCTTCTTCATAAATTTGTTATAAGGTTTAAAAGAGAGAAGCCATGTAAAGCATTTAGCAGAATGTCTGATACATATATCAGTATTTTAATAGTTACTTCTAATAGAGGTAAACTACAGAAGTATACAAATCTCTATTTTTAATATTTCTATAAGCCTCTACAGAAAAAAAAAAATTCTTTTGGTGGTCATCATGCCTTAGATTGAGGCAGAAGTCAAATTCCACAGTTAGAGATAAGCACCCTTACAAATTAAAAAAAAAAAAAGTGTTCTACAGCAGCTTGCGTGCCTGGAATATACTCACTCGTGAATTGGGACTGGCGGCCCCCAAGCCCGCACTGTCGAACTTTACATCCTCGGAAGAGCCCGTAGTAAATATCGCCAATGAACTTGACCAGCTCTGGATCAGTGGCATTGACCAGGTCCACTCCAGTCTGACAAAGGATTTTCCCACTCAGCCAGTGGGGCGCTGCCAGGGCAATGATGATCAGGATAAAGGAGGAGAAGCTGAGTAAAGATGATAGCCCATACCACACCTTTTTGAACCATCCAGGCATTCTAGTGGGTGCAGGTCATCCTGCAGGTGGCCGGCATTCTCTGGACACTCTGTAATCCCCTGCTCCAGGGTTAGCTCTTCCAAATACAGCATTTCAGGATTTCCAGTGCATCTTCTGGTCCTCCCTCAATGCCTGCCTCCACAGCCCGTGTTTACTACAAGCACGTCCGGAAGTCTCTACAGAGACCGCCTTCACCTGACTCAAGTGTAGAGGAGTGTGTTACTGAAGGAAGTAACTGTATATCTCCCACTAGACTACTGTTTCAGCAGAGGGTTTAATTGTTCCTTTCAGGTATTTAAATTACCCTGGAGTGGACCTCTTGATGGCCAGGAAGTTATTAGCAGGCAAAACTAGGTAAACCTGACTATAAAGAGACACTAACTACTCTCAAAAAATGCATGCAAAAGAAGGAAACTGAGCATGTAATGATTAGCACTTGAATGCTGCCCACAATGCATGGTGTCAAATGTCGAGCTCCTGGCTGTGTGCCTGGGCATTTCTTTCTGTCAGAATCTCCAGAACTGTTATTAATACTTTTGGATGACCTCTGTTCTCAAGGCTTTTAATTGAAATGTGTAAACAAGGCTATATGATACTTGGATTTATCACTCAGTGAATCTGCTGTGGGTAAATTGCAGCAGGAGTCGGTTTGTGGCTGGACTGGGGCAGCCTGGACCCCAACACTCACATTCCTGTCCTCCAACAGCACCCTCCCCCGCAACCTTGTGTCATCTGAAGTGGGAAAGAAAAGTGTTTTTCTAATGTGTTAGCAAATACCCACCTTGTCAGGGGCTTTACTTCTTCTAATACTGAAAATCTGTTTTGTTTTGTTTTTTTCTTTTAATCTGTAGCCACCACGAATGAAATATTCCCTACTTTCTATTTTATACTGTGGCTTTTCAATTTTGATTTTTAGTCCATTACTGAATGCCAACTTGATGTCATGTGAGACTGGTAACAGCGACTCTCAATAGCTTTGGGGAGTCACATTTGGCAGAAATGGCACAATAGAATGTTTATTTGGTCAGAGAGGTCTGGAGGGGGGGGCGGTTCCGGAGTTTGCATTGTTAACCGACAGGAGTTCCAGAAACCTCACTTGGAGAGCAACGAGGGACCAGAGGGACATGGAAATGGAAATGTCAGTTTCCTTCCCTATAGTGGGGTTCACTTCTGTGGTCTCTCCACAATGAAAATAAACAAGAGTGTCCCTGAAGCTTGTGTAGAGCTTTTCCTGGTACAAAAGGCTTTTACCATATGCTTGCTCCCCACCCCTTCCCCTCGCCCCCCATGCTGCAGCAAGGCTTTGTGGTAGGCAAGGGATGTTCTATCCTAATGACCCCTCTCATGAGAAAACTGGATGCAGGGCTTGGGCTGGAGTTCAGGTCTTTGAAATACAGCAGCTCATCTTCATCACAGTGACCCTGAAATAGCAAATGTTTTTCTGGTAATGAAGACATAACAAAAGGCTGAGAAGAGGAGTTGGCACATTAATAAAAGACCAATAATGGTCTTACAGTAATGTTAAGTATGCTTTGGACCTGCGCAATACCTTTGCATCGTATTTCTGCCTCAGATGATGGACCAATGTCAACTATTGTGTTTTAGGGATTAAGCAATTATTTTTAGAACGATTATTTTAGAAAAATAATGGGAAACAAATGATTCCCAACAAGCCCTTGATATGCTGAATGGAAATGTGGTTAAGTAGAACTCTCCTGAAGACCTGGGTTCAAATTCCTACTCCTCTGGGCAAGTGCTTGAGACTCTTGTGCCTCAGTTTCCTAATCTGTCATGGGATTATTGTACAAAGTAAAATGAAATAGCACACACAGATTATGGCATACAGAGGGCACCAAAAATGGTGTTGACCTCCTCATCCAGTCTTCTAGCAATTCTGTTCCTGGTAATGACGCTTCTCATAATTAATTGTGTTGCGGGTGACATCCTGTTCTCCAGGAACGTATTTTTGTCTGCCTTGTCTGGCACACATGTATTGAGCAAACATCTTTGTGTCTGCTACATGTACGCCACACTGCGTTTGGGTGGAGGGGGACACAAACATGTATAATATTGCCAAAACAGTGATGCAAAAATTGCAGTATACTGTATTTTAAATGTTTAACACTTTACAAATTAATGCTTTTAAAACAACAACAACAACAACAACAACAAAACCCCCACGAAAATTATTACAGGAGTTCTTTTTTTTTTTTTAATTTTTTTTTATTCTTATGTTAATCCCCATACATTACATCATTAGTTTTTGATGTAGTGTTCCATGATTCATTGTTTGTGAATAACACCCAGTGCTCCATGCAGAATGTGCCCTCCTCAATACCCAACACCAGGCTAACCCATCCTCCCACCCCCCTCCCCTCTAGAACCCTCAGTTTGTTTTTCAGAGTCCATCGTCTCTCATGGTTCGTCTACCCCTCCGATTTCCCCCGCTTCATTCTTCCCCTATTACAGGAGTTCTAAAAAATATGACTCCATATGGCACAACAGGCCTTTGGTCTGGAAGAGACACAGTTCAAATGTAAGTCCTATAATAATGTTTTTGGACCTCTGTGACTGTATGTAAGACCCCCTTTGTCCAGAATGTTAAAGGTCCACAGTTAAGCCCCACCAAATGGTACCCACTGCCCCCCCTTTTTTTTTTAAAGATTTTATTTATTTATTTGAGACAGAGAGAATGAGAGAGACAGAGAGCACATGAAGGGGGGGAGGGCCAGAGGGAGAAGCAGACCCCCTGCTGAGCAGGGAGCCCGATGCGGGACTCGATCCCGGGACTCCAGGATCATGATCTGAGCCGAAAGCAGTCGCCCAACCAACTGAGCCACCCAGGCGCCCCCCACTGCCCCTCCTAACAGAGTCTGGCATTTTTTTTCTTGTAAACTCACACTCTCTAAGAAGTGCAGTGACTGTAACAGAAGTAGTGACGAAAATAATAATAATGCTCAATCTGCATTTATTGAGGCCCTACCTCTGGCCACACAGTATGTAGTCTAATACTCTAGTATTATTTTTTAAAATCCTTTCCAAAACCCTAGGAGGACAGACCATTAGTATTTCCATTTTACCGAGGGGAGACTGAGGCACAGAGCAGTTAAGCGAATTGCTTAGGGCCACACAGCTGTTCAACAGGGAAGCCAGGCAGTCGAGCTGCAGAGCCTGCACTCTTATTTAAAGGTAAGATATATACGTGGTTTGTGCTGTCTCCCCAGTGGACTCTCAGCATCGTGAGCGCACATCTGCTTTCCACCCTCCCCACCCTTAGCCCCGCGCCCTGCACGCCCCGGGTGCCCGGCACCCGCAGGCCCGCGGGCCGCGGGGCTCTGCGGGTGCACCTGCAGGGTGTCGGTGCTCGCCCAGCGTGGCCGCGCGCTAGGCGGCAGCAGCGGGCCCCGCGCGAGATTCACGCGGGATCAGCGGCCGCGCCGTCCCTCTTGGCCGGGGCGGGGCCGGGCGATCCGGGGCGCCGCGGTCGGGCTCGGGGCAGTCGGAGCTTCGGGAGCCGGGCGGGAGGAGCAGGATGGCGGCGGCAGCGGGCGAGGCGCGCCGGGTGCTGGTGTACGGCGGCAGGGGCGCGCTGGGCTCGCGATGCGTGCAGGCGTTCAGGGCCCGCAACTGGGTAATTCGGCCGGGTCTCCGCGGGCTGGGGCGGTCGGGAACGCTGGTGATTGGGGAGCAGAGCGGCCTACCCGTGCAGCTCGGGAGGGCCGACTGGATAAAGCCGGGGCCTCTGCGCACCCCCAGACGTGAGTGCTTGCACGAGCATGCACAGGTTTACGTTCCTGGCTACGAGTGCGTGCCCACGCCGCGCCCTACGTGCCGGGCCTGTGCTCTGCAAGGAGGTGAGGGATGGGGCTGTTCGCTCCGTCTCTGCCAGGCCTAGAAAGTCGGGTATGGCTCCGGGGAGAATTCCAGAGGGGAATGAAGGGGAGCGGGCTTGAGGGTACAGGGAGAGACAGTGAGAAGCAGGCTCTGGAATTTGACTGCCTGGCGTGGGTTACTAGTTCTATAATCGTGAACTTACTGCTTAACGCCCTCGAACCTCAGTTTCCCATCTGTAAAATGGGAATAATGTTAGTATTTACCCCTTAGGGGATTATGCGGATTGAATGGGATCATTGGTGTGGTTGTAAAGTATTGGACTCGTGGTAAAAGCTGTTGAAATGTTAGCTATTAGTATTACTATAATTAGCCCGTTCCTTCAGCCGGCCTTGGACCTGATATTTTGAAGGCTCAGCCCCGCAAATGCTGGTGGCTTCTTCGTTTTGCAAAGACAATTACAACTACTTTGCATAATCAGGTATTGCTCCCTGCAGGGGGCAAGTAGGAGTGGAACTGACCCGTGGTCAGAGCCCCTGACCCCAGCCACCAGGCGGGGCTCAGCTCGTTCCTGGTGGAGACTCCGCCCTGTGTCTTCTCAGCTGCATCTGTCCCAGCACAAAATGTGCCGGAAGCTCTGGGGAACTTCCCCTGAGGGGTTTAGTTAGTACCCAGGGTGCCCAGGAACCAGGGAGAGAGGGTTTCCTTCTGGTTCAGAACCTGGCTATAGGACTTCTAAGGGATTCTAAACACACCACTGGCTTCCTACTCTGAGCTTGGGAAGACTGTTTTGAGGCGTCTTCCAGGGTCTGCAGGGGTGAGAGTGGGAACATGTAAGGAGTGCTGGCGGCAAGTTAGGCACTGTATTCCTACATACTCTTAATTTCATTTACTCTTCCCCAAACTTGAATGTAGTGGATTCTCTTGGTATCCATGCGTTCCAGAGGTGAAGCCTGTGGGTTCCCCTGGTGGGGGCACTTGGCAGAATCTGGCACGCTGATTTACCTGTCTCCCCCGCCCTATCTCTTCATTTCTAGGAGCTCTGGGAGGGGCTGGGATACAACCTTTTCTTTGTGTCTGTATCCCCCGTGGCTGGTGACAAAGAAGTAGTGAGTGTTTTTGAATAAATGCTGTGTTCTTCAAAGCTTGTGCTAGAGATATTTATCTCCGGGGCCTGTGGACCTTAGGGCCCTGGAACTGGATGTCACCTCTGCCAGGAGCTTTTTGCAGTTAATGTTCACACTGACCCTGTTAATTGTTAACCCCCATGAGAAAGGCACTAGTTTGCAGGATGAGGACCCAAAG